AATCATTCCTTAGGTGGCTATGACCGAGTAGTTGAGGTAATTAAAATAGCGATCTGTAGGTCATAAGGTCAAACCCGTCAAAGCCGCCCATCTTCCTAATTTCTGTATTTCCCCGGGCAGCATTTGTACGGCGTGACCCCTTTCCTGAAAGTCAACTGCACATTTGTATACTCAATATCACCTCGTTTGGTCACGCCACAAACGCGAATAAAATGACAAGTTCAGTGCTTTATTTTTTGGCCCTTCAATCATTTTATATCCCCAGTAACCGTTTTGGGCCCGCGTTTTACTCTATCAAGTCCCGTGTAAATTTACTGGGCTTATTTAAAAAGAATGTTACACTTATCTCCAGATTTTCAAGGTCTCTTCTAGTGTGCAGCTTTATACTTCATGAGCATGCTGTAAATCGTTAAGGTAAAACCTGTAAAACATTCTTGCATAAGATTTCACTTGACTGTGCTTATCAGCACGTTGACCCTAATAAGCCACTACCTACCAAATCAAGCCGGTTTCGTTACAAACACTTAAAATACACACACTAGTTGAGGCTTAAGAGAGTTTTGCTTTTTCTTGTTTTGCCTGATTCACAATTAAAAATTCAGAAATCGCTATGTTTAACCTGATCACAATGTTATTTTCAACTGAATGTTATTGTTACAACACTGTTCTTGACTTAACTATTGCTGTTGTTGCCGTTAGTTAATTATTAACGTGCCTATGCTATATTTTCTGTTTTCGATGCCTAATGGTTATGTGGCTGGTTGTACGGCAGTGTACGGAAATCCATCTATTGGGGTTCCGAAGCTACGGTTAGTTGATTAGTTAGCAGAGCAATGCGCGGTATGATGATCAGCTGCATTGTAAAACCGAATTTTCCAGCAGGATCGATCAATGAATACGGATGGAAAATAGCACTGAGTGGAAACGATATAACTAACTGACGTTTGTGATAAGTCGAAAGGAAATCTGTAGTGCGCGTACAAGTAGCCATCTTTTATGCTGGTAAACTGTTGTCTAAGGGGCCTAGTGAGTCCACTGCTTTTGAAGTTGTGTATCATTGTTTAGGCGGATCAACGGAAAAATCGATACAGCCAAGCAGGAGTAACATTGGTAGGATCGGTGCCGTGACACGGTTCGTCTCCCCAAACCAAGCCCCCAATCTTTCGTTGTTCGACCCCTCGCTGCCTCTCGCTATCGACTATTATCAGTATACATACAGACGGGAGTGCGACCGTGCAAAGGCGCGAGTCATTTAGTTGACAAGTCAGGCAAAAACCAATTAAAGTAGCGTCGTCTGATTAGAGACCGGGAGCTTGTCGAATACTGCATAGGCAGCGGAAGTATGCATAATGTGTTCTCTCGTACACGCTTAAGCTTGTTTGCTCGCTTGCTGTTTCGTTTGGTCATGCACCCAATCTGGGGTTAATTCCCTACTGCGTGAACTGTCCCACCTCGCACGATCACCGGCCGGACACGCAAACAAACACGAACTAGTACACACATCAACACACAGACACACTGAACAACGTACGTCTGTGGGTACAAAATCACTTGTGCCCACGTAACACAGTAGAACAGAGAGAGAGGGTTAAATGCAATACTTCTTTCCATCCATATGCATTGGTCGTGCGTAAGAGAGCAGTATGTTGTACAGCGCGCAAACTGGACCGAAGCCGTTAAAAGACACGAAGGTTGGTTGGGATTTGATAGTCCGAACTAACCGACTGGCTAACCTCATCAGTCAAGTGTTGCGCAGTTCAGTGAGCCTGTGTGCGTGTGTATGAGCTTGGATGTGAATCGAAAACAACGGATTCTTACAAGAGTACACACACACACACACACACGAACCCGTTGGCTTTTATTCAAGTTACGAACGCGCAACGTGTGCGAATGCATCCCAGTGCAAGCAGGACAAGAGCCTGAAACAAGTGTAAAGCTTGGGACGACGGAAATTGGCAGAATCCGGACACGCTCGGTCGGTCGTTGTAATGGCGTTGGTGATCATAGTGATATCAGATGTGAAGATGATCCCCATGTTCGTGGCAGATGTGTTGGTGGCGACAGCATCAGGAACGGTGTTATTGGCCATAACGATGCAGATTGTGTTTGTGCTAACCAGGTGACGAGCGGGTAGATTTAAACAGATTAAGTGAAACCTCACTGAAATTGTTGTGCCTTGGAGAGCGATTGACACAGTATCCTATCCGGATGAGTTTCGATGATGGTAAACGAACGAGAAATGTCAGTCGAATTCAGTTCATCTCCAGTTATTTAATGCATTAAAACAATCGGAAGTGTCAATAAAATTATTTTGCCTTCCCGAGGGCGAACCTGAACAAATTTTAGACATGAACATTGTCAACTCGTTTAGTGGAAAAGTGTGGCCGGAATAACAGCGGAAAATGCATTTATGAGTATCGATCACTGTAATCGTTGGTTTTAATATTCACGTTAGTTAACCCAGCTAGGTTCTAGGTATTAAAAGATCAATCATTTCGTTCAATCACACCTGGTTGTTAAATTGAGACAACTCTCTTAGATGTATGACAGCGACAGAAGGATTTGAAGGCGTTAGGTTCTCAATCAGTAGTTTTATTACTGAGGGCATCCACTTTTAATTCGCAGTTGCCGTTTTCCATTATTCGAGACTTGAGACGAATGAAAAAACATTAGATAGAAATTATGCGGATAACGGAGCATAAAGAGTTGGTTTCCTCGCCTATTTCAGGTGGCTACTTGAAAGAAGCTATACGGTAGCCACACGGTAATTCTGCAGACGTTTATGCGTTACAGCCATACACCTTTTCATTTAATGAGTTTATCCAAAAATCCGAGGAATCATCCAATGAACGAAACAGAACATCTATTTATTTTTTTAGTTTCACAATCCTTATCTGTTATGTTGCATCAAGTATGAACACTATTTTACGATAATGGTCTGGTGATTCTAATCACAATGTCAGTAAAATCTTAAAATATAAATCGATCAATGTGTAAAAATTTACATGGCCATAGTAATTCGTATTGCACACTCTCACGTGAGGCAGCACATATCTTCACCTATTCGTTTGCCGTTTATCCCTTAATGGGAATTATAGCTTCCAATTTTCAACTGACCCGCAAATTGCACCCACACATGCGGAGGGGAGGTGACACACGAACACTTGGCATAGCGAACATGATGAAAAATACCCGAGTAAAACTTTTGCTAACAAACGTGGCTGTTGCCTACTATCCCACAGTTTTTTTGAATAAGTGCACCGATCTGAACCTCATTCTGGGGTCACCACATACAATTGTATTCACCAGCGCCTGTTTGCCTGACCTCATTTGTAACATGTGGTTTGCGCATCAGCCGAAACCCGAAATCTCGCCAGAAAGAGGTAGCTCTTTCTCTCTCTCTGTACTGCTGTGCGGTCCTCCATCTCTCTATCCATGTTCAGCATTTGTAAGGTGGGGAGTGGGTAGGATAGAAGGCACTGAGATGCGAATTATTCATTAGTTAGGAATAATATACTAGTTGGCAAGCAGCTGTCGTCCCATACCTCACTCTAAGTAGTACAATCCATACGACCACCACCATTACTATACGATACATTTTCGTAGCTATCGTTTAATGAAACCTAGTGGGAAGTGAAAAAGAGAGCAATTAAAAGGGTTAAAATGTAATGTATGAACCAATTTGCACAAATTGATTTACCTCAGTCCCTGTAACCTGGGTTTATTTCAATTCCGTGCTACCATAGTGTGAATGAAGGATGGCATACTAGCTGAGGAAAGTTGCAACAGATCTGTAATCCAATCGTATTCCATTCTTTTTGTCATCATCGTTGCTGTTGGTCATGCACTCAGGCCATGTCTGTTCATTAATTTACTACTCGGCACTGATTTTTCTCTCTCTCTCTCCAATGAGTAGTGAATTTATCACCACCAATAAGGCGTATGGTCTGCACCATTGAGAGAATCTGACTGAAATACCGAGCCCTTGGATACCGATTGAATGATTTTTCAATCTTTTAATTGCTTACGCTGATATACAATTCCTTTCTGGTTCATGGTCGAGATAATTACAATAATTGCAAGAAAACAAGTTGTCATCCAATCTTGTAATTCAGGAAATAATGAACAACAAAGTGCTTACTAATCACCCAATCTAGTTTAGAACGTAAAGCTACTTTTTCGTATTGTGTTTAGCTTGTAGCTGTTTCGATCGATCGAGAACTAATTCTCATTATGTTTTGAGTTCCAACGATCGGATCAAACAGCATGGGTAGTTTCGCACTAGGAATATGACACATGCATACAGCAATTTAAAGGAAAGCACAAAATCGTTTGATAGATACGTACCGTCCAAATGACCTTTAAAAGCGACGTGTCCGGAATTTCTTTTTGCCTGATCATGCAAATCATTTGCCACATCACTGGACCGTTTCCCCCCGTGATGTAGGGCGTTCGGATCGTTTGCTTGAACTGTGAGGTCATNCATGCAGATCGGTCGGTGGTGGAGGGACGGCCGTGGTGTCACCCTCGGTTGCCCCAAGCAACGTGAAAATAATTCCAGCTTGTGAATTGACTCCCACTGCGGTGACAACCATCTTGCCGGAACCTTCCATCACATGCGTACCTAGAATGCAACAAATGGTTCGTGTTGAATAGAAGACCAATAATCCACAATAGAGTAGTGTCCAAAATGCTCTGAGGTAGGTCATCGGTGACAGAATTACTTGCCGTGTAATAAGCCACTCACATAACATAGATGAGATAAAGCAGCGTGTTGTACGGAAAAGTCTACACGTTATAGAATTGAACAAATCTCTCAAATAGTTCATAGAACAGTAAATCGGGAGTGTGCTAATGTGAACGCGGCGGGAGAAGAGGGGCAGCTGTAACAATGTGATGAAAATGTGAAGCACACACATGAAAATACAAAATGCAATCTGACAATGTGAATTATAGCAACAGATCAGTGGGCCACCTGAAAAGTAGGCACACACAAAAAAAACAAGAATTTTACCAGAAACTAAACTGGTATCAATAAAGCATCTTCAGCACAATTTGCACAATACTATGTATTTTATCGTATTTCATTTGGCGTCGTTTGTTGTTCATCTCATGTATCAATGCAATCTAAGTTTCCCAATACACCAAATGAGCATGAATTTCGTCCCATGATGGTCTCGTTGAAAATATCATTGTTCACTTTAAGCCTGTATTTTAAAAAAATGGCATCTGGCGGGGCCCAAGGAGGAAGTGTACCAGATGTTCGTGGCATCAGTTCTTACTTGCTTAATTTGCTAATCGGGATACAGTGCATGTGAGACACATGTGACCTTCGTCGGCAAGACCGTCACGTCCATCAACTTTGTGTCCCAATCGTTTCAGTTGCGTGGATACACTACTTTTTTCGGGAGAGCTTCAAAACAAGTACGTACGAATCTTTCATTGTCCTTGCATTGCCCTACTAGGCAGGGTTAATGGGCGAGTTAGACCAGGAGGTTAACATTCTGCCCTGCTTTAAAGCAATCATTTCCACACACACACATACAGGCTAAAACCCTCAACCACTAAAGTACAGACAGACCTTGTCGGACATGTATGGAGTAATGAGTGGTCGGGATGTTATCCATAACCACAGCGCTTGGCATAGCCGAAATACGATACGTAACTGTGCTATGCGTTTCACACGAAATTAATGTCTCAATCGATGCGCGACCTGCGTTCGACTTACTTTGGGTAGAACTTGTCCTGTCCCCCTCCTCAAACTCCCGCACACACACACACACACACACAAGCATAGGGACGGAAGGTTTGAAATAAACTAAGGGTTCTATTGGCACCCAACGGATTTGGATGAACATAAGGTTTTCGATGATGATCTCAGACAATGATTTAGAAATATGTTCAAGGAAGCAGCTACAACAACACTGCAATTTCGGCACAACGAGGTTGTAAAATGTTTGGTATAGTTAGCCTGAAAGTAAACTGCATTATTAGTTTGGTCCGATGGAGGGTAAACCAGGAAGTCGGACAATCACACAGAATGGAACGCTTTGTGGAATCTGAATTGTTTATCAAAGCAGAGTCAAAATTTTACTCGGTATTGGAAAGTTCCATTGTTTCATCCTTGATAAGAATCATCAGCAATGTATACCATACGAATTCACCAGGATTTGAACCCGAGCACGATGGGTTGTTAGTGCGAGGCTGTAACTAGCTGGGCTTACCCCGGTTGGCTATGTCACACTGGGACCCTGCATCAAAGAGTTGACCGCTGTGACGTAAGGTTCAGTAACTTCAACGGCAGTTATGGATAGGTAGAAGTAGGTAGATCGTGTTGACCTATATTCGATTGCTGAGAGGGAAATTCCATTTGTTAGGTGCGTCAGAATAACAACCCATTGGGTTGGAGTTAGAATTTCAGTGGATTCGGTCGCTATTCATGGTCAATGATTCTCAACATGAATGAAACAGTTGTGCAGAATAAGTGCAACCAGAGTATTTCAATGCTATCTGCTTGACGAATCTGAATTGCGGATCTTACAGAATACAAATAATCGGAAGCAATATTTGCATGTGATACTAAATTGCAAAAACGGTTGGAAGAAATATAACTATCATGGTAAGCAAAGGGCATTCCCCGGGGGCCGAGTGATTACAATAAGAGCTTGGTAAAAAATATAATAACCATACTAGTTAGGATAGATAACCGGTGGCAGTATTCGAAAAAAAACACGCATCACAGCAACAGCTTCGGTATGAAGAATATAAGACCGATTGGATTAACCTGCTGATTTACTTTAACAGGTACCGATGGGGCAAAATGTCGTGTCAAGTATATTACCAACACAAACTTACAAGACTGTCCACGGTTTTCGTGGTTCGATTGTCCAATCGAAAACGTCGCATCACTGATATGACTTAAATTTTGAACTCAGTAAATGATTTCAAATGATTTCCAAGCCCAGTGACGCCTTTCAATGAAGACAAGTTAATATCATCAAAAACTGGAGCCACAATTACATAGTTGACCGCTTCTTTAAAACTGTCTTATTCGTACAGTTGGTTCAGACCGTTTGTTTGTGAAAGATCACAGGAACGAATTTGGAGATAATGTAATCAGTTGTTACGCAAGCTTAAGATAAATGAGTCCCATTATTTTTGTGCACTAGAGTTGTATGCGAGTAGAAATGAGTACATTTACGCAGCTCCTCATTTAGTCTGATAGAAGAGGAGTGGAGTGAAATAAATCAAAAATCGAATATTTTAACATTCTTTCGGTGGAATGTGGATGTTAATGGACGAATTTAATACAAACGAACTGGCAAAGAACATTCTCTCGAAAAAACCATAAACACACGGAGCTCTGAGAGTCACGTCAAGTCAGTAATAGTAGTAGTAGTGGTAGAAAAAACCTGGATTCATAGATCGACCCAGCACCTGTTAAGCGACTGGTATTATTCACAATCCGATGTTGGACGAACGTTTATCTGCTCCTCATTGAGTATTGATGGATGCGTTATCGCCCCTATTCATCGGTTTACGTCATTTTATCAATATATTACTTGCAACCAGGAATAAGTTATGTCCGATAATCTAGGATAGATCATAAAAACAGAATTATGGAGGGAAATGTGATCATAAAATGAAATAACGGAACGAAAATGTGCTTAGCTTGTTCCGTTAATTCGTGAATATGATAGGAAAAGTTGGGTGAGATATTAGGAGGTGGTTTATCCCAAGTTTACGTCTAAGGGACATCTGAGCACATCCATGGAACCTCTTGGTCCTGGATGACTTTGATTGGATGTTTCTTCTCTTTGAATTGTGTTGTTCCTGTAGAATCTTCAGAGTAGTCGGTCTAGTCTCTTTGTGAGACTTCCATTCACCAGCGCTTTGCTCTTTACCGCTTGACTGATTGTATCACGCAAATCGGGGTTTTCCATAACCCGAAGTACGTAATAACTATTGAATTACCTTCGTATTTTAGTACACCTAGATTAGTAAATCTGATGTTTCTTTCACTTGAACTTTGGACGTATTTTCTATGACTCACTTAACCACTAAATGTCGGTCCGTTACGGTGGCGTTCGTGGATCTACTCGGTTTCCGAGGAAATTTATTTTCCCTGTGTTCTTGTATATTCACCCTAACACTTCTCGCAGCTTACTAATTCTTCGGTTTATTCTGCCGTCGTTATTTAATCAAAAGAGCATCCGAAAGACGGTGACCGAAACCAACTCACGACTGTACAAGAGTAATAGTTGTATAGTGAACTGAACCCATCCCGAGGATAAACGTTCATCACAGCTCCCTAATACTGTCTTCCTGGTTCGATTGAGCAACAGAGCAATAATACTGATCCGGTTTTATAGCTCTGATATCAAAGCGGCGTACGGTTCAAGCAATCATGAAATTGTGACAGAGTGGGAGTAAGATCAAACGATAACACAAGCCGTGGTGCTGACGAACGTAGAATAACATACGGTCTTCGGTGAACAATAGCTTTTAAATCTGATTCCCACAGCAATACATTATAGCTTTTGGGGTTAAACAACGGGTGAATTTGTAAGATTTGTTTGATATCAATCCATCACTGATGACGGAATATGGAAAATGCAATTCCTTGACCTGCCCCACAAACTTGAAAAGAAAATAATTTGAGAATTAAAATACTAACCGCATAATAAACCTTGGAGAATAGTAATACACGCATTTATCTTTAAAACAGAGTTTTAATTAAAAGTCCTTTTCCGGTGGTCAAACAAATAAAAATACATCACAGTTGGAAGGATATTTTAGGGTTTATTTTGCGAAGCATAATACTAAGCAACACGCAAAATAGTTAACCGTGGACTACCATGTGCATGTTTGGTTATTTCTTTGCCAGATTAAAAAAATGAAAGGAGCACGGTTGAAAGAAAACCCAATAAAGGTGTACAAAACAAGTGAATTAAATGCGTACTGAAACTGAGTAGATACACGAGGGCCATTGTTTACAACCAATATCTCTTCCGATCGATGATTGTAGTTTCATCTTGAGAACCCCAGTTGTAGAATCTAAGATGGTCTATGTGACCAAAACCTCTGGAAAGGGCATCATCAATTGGCTGCCTGTCTCGGTAAACATCACAGACCGAGAAGGCCAATGCGAGAATGTGTACTACTTGCCTCATAGATTTCTATCTATGAGCCGCAGGCACTTAAGTTGGTTCCGACCATCATCACTTATATCGCGAACGAACCGAACGAACTCTAAACTGAGAATTTATTCGTTCGCCAAAGCCACTAACGAACAGACGTTCCTTGGCACCTAAGTGAGAGTGTGTCTGTTCGTAAGCACAGACACAGACGCAACAGGTTATAATGGTGTTAACGAATCAACAATAATTGAAACACGTCCGCAGGTAACGTTTGTGACGGACAAGCCTCTTCATCTATCGTCTGCATCACCTCTCCGGTGGTACCACCAGACTCATACAATGCAGTTTTTAAATTTCCGGACACCGAAAACAAGTTACGCGGCTCAAACACTTCACTTTATTTACATGCATAAAAAATAACGGTTGGACACATTTGTTTTGTACGTCGAGATGATCCAACCTTACAAAGTGATTGCGAGCGTACGAATAACTTGTTCACACACAAAGTGAGCCGCACGTGCCAGTGACATAAATTGTTGATGGCTATACATTGTGCTAGTGCCCCGGGCACAGTTTCTCTTCCTCCGATATATATATTCTACTTGTTACACACGTGTGTACTAACTATTCGGCGGTGGTTAACCGGAGAGCATTGTTGACAGGCCGGAGGCTCAGATTTATGGCCAATCGGGAATAAAATATGTCCCCGTCGGAAATCAGTGCTCCTTCAGCAACTTGGTTTATCACATAGTCCCCGAGTACACACACACATACATAAACTTAACCGGGGATTGTAGTTAGATGCGGACCATCCAATCGCTGAAGCCAATAGACTGGAGCAAACAGAGCGACTTGCACACAGTTCATTTTACTCAGAGGGATATCCGACACAATGAATGTGTTGAACCCCGTAACCCGCTTAGAAGTAAATGTGAAGTAGAATTAACTGGGAAATTTGAGTCAGTCAAGAGAATCATTTGTCCATTAGTTAGATGGACTCTTTCTCACAAAAGCTTCACTGGCACGATGAGATAATTTTAGATAAGTCCGATTGGTCGAGCGAACACAAAAAAACAAGCAAGAGAATCAAACGATTTGCTCGTACAAAGAACGTATGGAGAAGCAGGAGAGAGGGGAAATGAAATCATCTGATAAATCGCTCATAGCTGAACAATCTACGTTGCGTGTTGGATTGGGATCTTCAATCCGACTGGAAATTGCTTGAGTTGAGCTCATCGTTTTGCCCATCCCATCGGAGATTGGTGTGCGTTTTTTATTTGCCATCACTCACCAATTTGATCCTTTGCATTCCACATGATGGAATTTGAATGAACCTCAAAAAGCAGATGAGATATGTCAAAAAGCGTGACAAAAAGTAACGAGTTTTATTCGTTACGTGGATTATATGGGGTGTTCCACAAACGGCACACGACGGGATTGGCATTTGCTAAGATTTGTGGGGATGACAATATGGATTCAACGCGGTCCTCTTTCTCTCACTCACACAATCATCAGCATCCTTATAGTCTGAGATTAGGTCAGAACGTGGTCTGAATTGTCGTCAATCAGAGCGTGTTGCGAATTTAGTTTGATTGGCAGTCAAAGGATCTCGGGGGACAAATGAGCGATAGCAATTGATGAGCTCGAAAAAGAACTGACAACTGAGAGATCGCAGAAATGGACGCGCAAGCAGTAAGGCGGGCCAGACAATAAAATGTTCAAATTTTTCAGATGCGTACAATGAATTCCTCATTATCCAACATTGCATCAGTCGGGAACAAAAGTTCATTTGTTTTCTAGTTTGAATTAGTTTAAAATGTTCACATGGAAGGAAAACAAATAAACAATACTTAACCAGGTAATTTATAAACGAAATAAAGATAAAATGCTACCGTAAATAAGCTTACATCATTGTAGCCTGATAGTTTTGATGGCCACTTCACACAGGAATCAGATTGTGCCTAAGGAACAGTGCAAAAACCGTAGCATACATAGGGGCGGAATTCAGTGAAGAAGAATACTCATAGATGCTATTTGAACCTGTACGCAGCATCCTTAGTTCCGGTCATTGAGATCGAACATTTATCGTTTCAGTATGACTCTGCAGAATAAACCTGGTACTGTTGGAATCCACGGTGCGTTCGTTTAAATCAACTCAAATCAGAAGTGTGCAAAAAAATAAACAACTCCATCTTTCTTTATTTCTCTGTTTCTTGTATTGCATTGATCGGTATTTCAAGCTCAAGCAAAGCTTAAGCAACACTATGACTTATAAAAAAGTGTGTCAAAGTATGGTAGCAACCCCTATTTTTTCTTTACATAAAAATTATCTCACATTTCCAAAAACATTCTCTATTGACTGATTAGCCACAAAGCGGTTCATTGATCGCTTTGAACAGTGAAAAATAAGCGATCCTAAATGGGACTTGTAATATTTTTTACGATATCAGCAGCACTGGAGAACTGTAGAATGAATCAAGCTGTGAGGCACAAAAAACTTTAGTGATCTAATCTTTAATGGAAACTGGGCTTGGTTAACCTACTTTTAACGCCGGCAAAAGTCTAATCTGAAACAGACATTTTATTATATATTTTCCATTTCTTTCCATAATGGTTGTCAGTTTATTGTTTAACTATGATGTTCTTCCTTATCTTTCTTTCGCTCACTTGAAACTGGAATTTCCCAGAATCAGAGCTCTGTTGAACAGTATCAGTGAAGCAGCACAGTGTATATCAAAAGTAAAACGATTTTTTTATTAAAGGGCCATGTCATTGACTGACGCGGACTCATCACCGTACGAAGTGATACGGTAATAACTTTGTGGTTGAAACGGGACAAAATTTGAAATTTTGGTTGTCCAAAATCTGCCAAAATCAAATTTAGGAGACTAATTCACATTTCGGTGTTTAGATATCTGTGAAAGTGCATTTTTATATATTTTGTTTGTCCTATGGATGTCAATCAAAATTTCTTTTTGAAAAACTTATTATCAATGCTGAATTTCAGAATGGACGGGATTGTTTATCTTCTGGCAACTGACCGGTAAGGAAAAAGAACCGAAAACAGTCAGTCCGCATCGTCCGTAGCAGGTGCGGATACCACATGTGGAAAGAATAAGACTAACCAAAACAACAACAATAACCGTAATCACAGGATTGATTATGGAGATGATAGTATTCATAATAATAAAAATAACAGTGCATCGCGTTCTCAAGGGACGCCAGTGTGCAAAAACAGTCCTTCCCCAGATATGGATCATATGAAGTCGGAGTGTGTTCCACATCGGCTGGAAGGTAACTACATGGATTGAACTGAGACTAATTTCGATCGCGACTGACTCGTTCTAAATTCGGATAAAGTTTGCTTTTCCGAAACGCAATCCCGTTCGATCACTGACTGCTTGCCGTTGGCCTGTCCGATGGGCGTTCGTTGGTCGATCACTGACAAACACACACACACACACACACGAACACAATGGGATGCCAGCAAACAAACAAGCGAGCAGGCAAACAGGCAATTGAGTGGCTGAATGACGTGGCTTGGCGTGTGTGGCGTTCTGAATGGTGTGTGTGTGTGAGAGAGAGAGAGTTACGCGGCGCGTTGTTCCTATGATCGGAGTAGGGGAGGACAAAGGGAATGGTTGCGAACACGAGTGAGAGTGCGAGAGAGCAATGGGGAACGTTGAGAGCGTGATCATAGGCAGCTGTGAGAATGAACTTACCAGACAAAAGCATAGGATCAATGGCATCGCCTTTCTTCACATGATCCGGTTCGCCGGTCAATGAACTCTCATCAACTTTGAGATCGTTGCTTTGGATAATCACACCATCAGCAGGAAGCAAATCACCTGCGACAAAAACATGGGGATATTATCAAGTGAGAATGCGAGATGGGGCAATATAGATTCAAACACACTATGGGGAAAGAGGAGTAACAATGTATGAATAGGACTGGTGCACGTGTCCGAGAATAGAAACGTTTTATTCACCACATAGCGGAATAGGTATAATGAAAGGAACACAAGGGATAAAATGCAGTCAGCCTTTGGAATCGTTTCATCACTGATGTCTTGGCAACCGATTTCCATTTCCAAGCAATGTTTTGCGCTTATATTTCCGAGAAATCTCGTCATATGTAAGTATCAATGGATCGCTGTTGAACGCCCGATTGGGCTGTTATTGGCAGTAAAACTGTTCCTATAAACTTCAAACAGCAAAATGAAGCAAAACAATTTACAGAGAAAAGACGAAATTTCAGTGAAATTCTACAGCCGATTCTGAGAGTCAGAACAAGATAGAACCCATCTTTTAAAGCACTGCTCGTCGAGACCCTTTTATTTTTCTGACTACGAAGTTTGAAAACAAAACTGGTTGTTGATTTATTAGCGCGCCGAAACTTTGCCTATTTTGCTTTTTCATTCTCCTGACCGCGAAAACAAATACCCATTACCATAGATAAGACCTTTTAAAAGCAGACGCTGACTGAAGAACATGCAGTTACCATTCGTTCCTGATGCCGTTTATCACCTAACCAGGACAGGATAAACAGTTTATATCCCAACTTGTCTCATTGATACGCTCTTTTAGAGATTTCCAAAACAAGGATATATTAGAAGAAGGCAAGGGAAACTTTATTAGAATAGTGTGGTTGCTATGGCGGGTCTGGAACTTTAGGGATTCGAAGTTCAATCGAGACCAACACCACCCAACTTTGATAGTAGGCAGCCTCATTATCACCCGGTTCAAAGTTGCGACTATCGTGTTTAAGGCTTTTGCCGTTCGCCTCTCTGAAAGACAGAGCTTGGTTTCCCAGTTATCATTAGTGAGCACTAGGCCCTCGTGCGTGTGGGTTTTACTCCTTCTGCTGAGAATCACACAATCCGTTGTAATTAAAAAATAATAATAAAATACATTTCACTGTTGACTAGTCCGGTTCGCATTCGAACTAAACAGTGCTTAATCTTTCAGATATCAACAAAATTGAGAAAACATAAGCTATAACCACCGTTACGGATCGGAATTACTTGGAAAAAAAGACAAGAGATAAATCTTTGCAAATCGCTAAACTCTTCAATACTACCACAAGCATATATTTTCAGGGATAAGACGAACCACTTTAACTGGAAAACGGAACAAACTGTTCCGATGCTTTTCTACGCCACTCTCGTTTTGTTTCCGACCCGGGGAGAAATTCAAGCTGTCAATTTTCATCGCAGTTTGCATTTTTACGAATGGACGTGGTGTTTCCTGAGGAAAAGTGGACAGGGTTCCCTATGTGTTGGTGTGCCTTGCTGCAGCCAACTTGAAGTAACCAAAACAGTGTGAACCAATTATCCGATAAATTGTTGTGTATGTGCGTGCATGCAGGTGTCTGTTTTCAAGATGCTTAGTAGTACTCTCTCTCGTTCGCGTTCGTGAGTGCACGTGTACACACAAGCCGATGGGAGTGCATGCGAATAGTGAACAAGACCAACCTCGACAACAGTGCCGAGTTTGAGGAGGTAGACACAAAATATCCGGTAGAATTCGACCTGGAAAGCTAACTTGTAGCATGGAATTTGAATGTGTGTGCCACGGGGTTAGCATAATGCCAAGGTCCGATCATGGTCTTTTCCCATTCTCTCTCTTGCTGGTGTTTGAAAGGGCACTGGGATCAGTAGCACAGATCCTCAGTGGTGGATCTCAGATACACACACACACACACACGGTGTCTCCTGACACACTGGTGCACATTCATGTGTATATCTATCTGACGACTCGAATCATGATCTTCGGTACATGGAACCATTTTCGTTGAGAAAAGTTTGATGTTCACCTTGCCAAAGGATCTACAGGTAAGCTAAGACACCCAACCACATTTCTGGACTGGTGATCAAGAAGGACAGGGAGCATTATCAATCAGCCGTTGTCGAAGTACGAATTCGGTACCCCCAAACTTTAATTGATAGATTGAAAACAAAGAAACATCTATTTCGTTTAAGTTTTGAAAGTCAGTGTCATTTTCATGTCCACTAATTCCCTTTTCCAGAAAAGCAGAGCTAGGATTCAAGACAAATGACTTACAATTAAAATTAAACTACCCCAGCGATAATCCTGAGGGATTTATTAGAGGGTCTCATTAAATCGGCTATTTTTTTTCTCTCAATAGGATCAAACTACTCAGTGAAGGATAATTTTCCCTACTCCACGACAGTGCAACTATGAAGTATGTTCTGCGCACGAAAGGGTAAACACCATATTATTGACAAATTTATTAGCCGTTAAATTCATCCTCGTCGGTGTCGACTAAAACATGACCTGATAGAATTCTCTTAAAAAGCACTAAATCTTGCTTTTATTTCAGTTGTCTTATTATGAGCTGGCTAATGTGGTTCATCTGATAGTCACAGTAAATTATCGGTGCTCTTGGCATTAGGTACCTCTTGGTGTGGCTGTATAAAAAGACACGCATACAATAAGTCCACGGTGGACGAAGTTTGTGGGCAGGTGTTCGTTATTTAGGTTTGGAAATGGAATTTTACATCCTTTATTTTAAAAACAAATAAACAATGGAAATAAAAATGACTAGAATCAAACGTTTGCTCTTTGTTTGGTGTTGGTCCGTGCCTGTGATTTATTATCACAAGCCACTTTGCGTGAACAGCAAACGAGGTAAATCCCATGGTCAAACAGATCCATTGTTTAGTCATGGAAACCGGCAACCTGAGCTCCAGCACTTGGGGTGGCAAACAACATAAGGTCTTATTAGTATTGGCGTAGTTTTCAGCCGGGTGACAACCAGGATGCTACCCCCAAATTTTAATGACTTTGGCGACCCACACGCCGATGACAGAGATCTGAGTTATTTAACCACAAGTACCAGCTCTAGTTCATAGTCGATAGTATTCAAGGAGCAATCTAATTCGAAAACTTTCATCAGTATTAGCTGGTGAATAAAATCGTTTAAAGCAGCTACTTTTATGACTCAACTAGTATTGTGTGGTGATTTCCTGGTTATTAGATAGTCCAAACTTAAAGGTACCATCCACCAAAACTGTCAGTGAAAATCTGGGCTAGTGCTAGATTGATTAGATAACTTTGTTTTTTTGATCCCACTGAAGTTTGTTCTACACATCACCGACCTGAAATTGGATAACTGAAGAAAAAACAGTCGTTTTACTAGCTGAAACAAACGCTATTAAATTTAACCGTGCATGTCACACTACTGACCTCAGTGCATCCAAACAGCAATACCATCAATCACAATGTAAAATTTGACCGATAAATACTGCAATACTTCCAGTTATTGGAACAAATATACCTTGATTTATGGCTCACTCGAAGGAAAATCGCATACCGCTGAAGTGTGCCGGGAGCGCGAGGGTTTATAGAGTGTAGTTGTACCAAAGTTAGTTAAATTTAAAGGAAGATATCAATTCGCGTATCGAGGGGGACTGTTTCTCTGCGACGGTCTGTTTTATTACTTTTTTCAGAGATAAATTTAAATAAGCAATCATTCATTTATGTAGTTCACCTTTTCAATTGGTATGCTCTACATACAAATAGAAAATTATTAAACTCATGACTGCGCACTTTACCAACTGATGTGCAACATTTGGAATGTAACGTTTGCCGGGGGGAAGATGAATATACAGTCTGGACAATGTTAATTCGAAATACACATGATGATGAAACAACCACTAACTAATTAGTCGAAAATTCGATCAAACATATTAAAGGTGTAAACAAATATAAACTAAGATCACTGACTTTCTGGACACCCACTCGGTCCCATATGGGGTTAGCTGAGGCTCCTCATTTCAACGTATTCTAAATAAAAAGGAAGGCACGTTTTGTGGCTGTAAGTCAATTTCCCCTCGAGAATTGAGTCCTTAGCACAGGAACATCATCTGAGAGAACGAACATCTTACGTTCCATTTTTCTTCAAAAGTTCCTCGGAATGTACCGCATCCCGGTTTAAATTCACTGAATGTTGGTCGAAATCGATGACAGCTATTCTGATACAATTTGGTGTAGTTTAAAAGTGTTTGTTGATCTTAATAATTACAAATTATTCTATTGTTGCCGTAATATACCTTAGATTCGAATGCCCCACTGAGAAAATAAAGCTATAAAAATATCAGTGAAACCAGAATTGTCAGTTTCATAGGCAATTAATTTTCTGGTAAAAACGATGATTCTAACAAAATTTGTGTAAATGGACAATCAGATGGAAAACGTGGCGCTTCATTGCTTATTCTGCCTTCCCCCCCTATCCCTCCCCTCTTCTCATATCGGAACCGTTTGCAGTCCTACATAAAACCAACATTTTTAAAATTGAAAGTCAAGAAATAAGAAATAATTATCGACGATTTTGATGAGTGAATAGAATAATGTTTGCGATATAATCATCGAAAGTATAGAGGATTGTTTTTAGTAAAAGTATATCGATATATCGTTGTCATTATTACAAGCAGTCTGGTTATTGACGGTGATGTGCAAACGAGAAAACGTGTGATCGGGGTCAGACGTGACTGCTGACCAACACTGCATGATGTAGCGAATGTGTCACAGATTTACCTCCTGTTCACAACATGGATTAGTATAGTGAATCTCCGTAAGGTTCAACATGCGTGTGTATACACATGTTTTTTTTCGCAAAAACAACCTGCGCGCGTGGTTGAACTAAGATCGAAAAGATCACTTGCTATGGTTCGAATTTCTTCAACCAGATAAAGATACAAAAATATCTTGCTGCTCAAGGATCCCAAAGAGTGGAAAAAGAAATTTAGAGTATCGCATCCTTGACAGGTTATCGGATATCATCACACACACGAGGAATAAATTATCGCCAAAGTTGAAAATGGATAAGAATTTACCAATGGGATACTCACCGTATTTGACAAGACAAATATCGCCCACCACAATATCTCCCACAAGGACTTCCACAATTTCGCCTTCTCGAACAACGGACATTCGATGATCCGACTCAATTTTGTCTTGTAATCCACGAAATTGCCGCTCTTTTTGCCAATCGTTTGTAGCTGTAACAAGAACCACCACAACTACGGCGCAGAGGATGGCCACACCTTCGATCCAGCTGACTTCCCCCTCACTTTCATCTCCGTGGGTTGTTTCACCGCCAAAGTCTGTGGAAAACGCAAAGCAAAGATGAAGAATGGAATTCGAATTGCTAGCATCGGGTGTGATAGAGCTCATTTTACTATCCACATCACACAATAAATTTCCTAAGCGAAACCATTATAACAAAACCAGCTGGTGATATCGTTTCTGAATGACACGAAAAGATAACCTAGATCTGTATACAAAACGTGTTGAGCTCGTGATTCAACAGTGGACAACTTTTAAAAGGTCAATAGTACTTGTTGGCTTCATTTTGCCCAAAAGTGGAGAACTGTGTGGTTGCAACCAATAGTTATTCGCACACGTTGTGCGACCAAAAATGCAGATATCTGTTTGATTTCTGTATGTGGAGCTTGATATGATTAAGCAAACTACAGTATCAGATAATAAGTGCACGACAGTGATCGTTAGAAATCAGCTTCTATTACTGCTAAAATGATAATCACTTGGAAAACGTTTTGCAAAAAATTTCATACTGGCGTTTCATAATTCCCATTGATGTTTGTTGAAAGTTATTCATTTTTTCCGAATGCAGTCTTCAACAATACAGGAATCACTATCCGGTTAGGCCAACACGTCCATTCATAGATCTCAAACTGAGTGCGAATTGCTGCTCGTACACACATACACACACACATACAGACAGACGCACACAGACCCCATCATAACCGAGGTCATATGCTATTTTTTCGCACAGGAAACGATGCGTAAGAACTACATCAAATATAATAAGATCATGCTCAGTCAAAAGACTGACATACGTAGAACAGCTTTGTACATAGAATAATAGTAACCAACTCTCAATGGATCAAGCAATATTGAATACCCTACCTTTTAGAATAGTAAATGGTCAAGTGATGAATTATTGAAAAACAGCTTGTTTCGTTATCGGATTTCATCTTCAATGTCACAAAGAAAGTTTTCCATATAACACATTCAGTGGCAATTTATCGAATAAATTCCACACAATGGTCTATATCTCTAGTCATTACGAGGAGAATGAGAAATAAAACAGATTTGTGAAGGACAGACATCTCACAAACATCCGTTTCCCGCACCGAAACTTCAGAATAACTAATTGACCTGTCTAGACAGATGCGCCAATCAAGTTCTCATTTCCTTTAGAGCACGCAATGTTTCTAAAAGCGATCTATGAAATTCACTTCGGCCACTTAAACTCTATTCGCGCAGTGCAAATATTTTGAAACGGGGCACTGTTTTTTATTTGAGAATCATATAAAACATTACGAGGAAAATTTCTTTTCCTCTTTTCAAAATTTAATGTCGATGTGCCAATCATTTTGTATGAATAATTTAACAGTTCTGAACAGTTTGAGTTGTACGCAGCCCTCGACACCAATGCATCGGCTAGCAGACAGCAACCTGAACTACAAAACGAGAAAATGTGCTTCTCTCACCAGGAGAAAGAAGAAAGCCATCCGCATTGTGCATTTGGATTTTAAGAATGGACGTGATTAAGTTAACCTAGTCTGTGTGATTAAACAACTTTGTACGATGGGGTTGATTCAAAACCCAACGAGGAGGCTAGTTAAATGTCAAGCATACAGTATACCTTTTTACACCCATTTCGGATTGAAGTATGAAATTCTTCCACAATTTTAGAACAGGAAAACATCTGAGAGGTACATAACTACAGATAAAGAGTAGTTCTACCTATGAGAGACCCGAACACGAATTCCCCGTAAATGAATGGATGAACACTCAGACATCATCCACTCGTCCCCGTACAGAGTGAACTATATGAACGTCACAGATAGCGAGAAAAGAAGCGCACATGCAATATTCAGGAGTCAAAGTGGTATGAGTGTATTCACTGAGGATGCATGCGTAATACTATTGAGACCGAAGTGGGAAAGAAGTCAGTAGTAAGGTAAATAAAAAGGCTCATTGGGACAGTGGCAGCCCCTTTTTGTCTAACGAATGAGAGAGAGGGAAGGGTGTTACGATTGATTGAACCTAAGCAGCCCAATTAAGGACCTGTAGATTGTGACTATGGTCACTAATTCACTATAACCGCTAGCTAGGCAGTCAACGGGGAGATAGAGGATTGTGGACTGACAGGCAGCATGGAGCAGACAGCGAAAGCAACACTGGTCGACGGACTGACTGATAGAATAACTGTTGGACCAAGAACTTTGGTTACTACGTCAAATCAAAGCACACTCACTGGCTTGCAGCTTGAAAGGGTGAGCGTGTGTGGACAAAAAAAGTAAAAGCAAATCTCAACTACACAGTTTAACCTGCAACCCACCGTTTTTCTGTACCGCAAATACACAATCCACTCTCGTGGATAGCACATGCTTCATAAAAGATCATTGGCGGTGGAAAAAGGACAGAGAAGTGAGTGAACTGCAGACTTGAAAGTGCAGCTTTTCTACATTCAGCCCACCCGGAGAGAGAAGATTTGTTTGCTATGATCTTTTAGGTGGTTATTTCTCTAACACTGAACCAACTGTCATCACACTAATGATGGCCCGATTCGGAAAAATGGATAGCGTTTGAACAGGAGAGAATGTGGACAGACGGCGGCAGGGCATAGTTGACATTTTCAACGTTGCTTTTTCAGGCCGAGAGCGTAGAGGATCACAGCATTGATTTTTCTCACTCACTGGTTTGGCAAACACAAATTGTGTAAATGGCGTGCACTGCATATTTGTTCAACTCTTTTTTGTACACCGCCTTGTTAGCCGGATCTGAGTGAATGGGAAAGTATCCGTTGATCTATTATTATCAAAATTGTTCTGAGTACAATTATTATTATTGTCTCATTTGTCTGTCATTCTGTGATACACACACACCACTTTATTTCACAAGTTTGATCGATGAGATTATCAATTCCTTTCACAGGTATATCAATTACATTTTCCCAAATTATGTATTTTTCTGAACATAAAGATAAAATTATTAACGTAATTATCAACGAGCAACAACAAAGTATAGTTGTAAAACCATTCATTAGAAAACGTATAAAAAGCAGTACGAGGTCAAAAACTTCCCACTATTTTTAAAACAACAAAAGATTAGGCTATTTATTTTATCAATTAGTTATAATGATAATAAATACTACTAAAATATGAAATTTTGATTAAAAATCAATTCAGCAAGTGAAATTGAAGAACGTCTTTTTGATAAACGCTTCCGGATAAATGAGGTTAGACCTGTTTTTCAAAACTAAACACAGAGCTTCTGCACACTTACTGGGTTGACGGAACAAACTCTAAAAACTTATGCAATGCTGCAGATACAAGGGCAATTAAATGCTACTAATATATGCCTATCAATAAATCTGATAGCAACCTACGGTTAAATGATTGCTATTTTCACAAAATTATCCACTCCTAATTCTTCGTTTATTTATCAACCATTCCTAATAAAAAATCATAAATGGTTTATTAGAAAATAGAAACACGTTGAAATTCAAATGAGACGTTTGATTTATTGGGTGCTGGAACGAAAACAAATTGTTCTTCCAATTTTATTTTATATGCATATTGGTCCTGAAGTCCAAATTGCAATCTCGATTTTCGCCCTTCCCATCGGATGGCGAGGCAGGTTGACTGAATTTGACAATGGACTGACTCAATTCGCCTCTAACATTATGGGGAGGGGGAAGAAGTTGGGAAGAGGGTTACAAAATGCGTGTTGCCTGTACCATTTAAAGTCAACATTGTCGCCATGTGTCGTTATGAAAACGTCAATGAACCATTAAAATAGGTTGGTGTTCTAACTTTAATTATAGTTGGGCTTGAATAGCTATGGTGATGGTAAACAATTTCTGATAACGGTCCATTAATCATAGTAGTTATGAATAATTTCACCTTGGGTCAGATATACAGAAAGTTACTTTGGCGGAAAACAAATTAAACGTCATTCAAAAAGGACAGTCATTGTTGAGATGGAGATGCTCAAGTCGTCCGAGATCCTCCGCCCATAAATCAGGTCAACCACGATTTGCTTAACTAATTATAAGTTGATTAGCTTTCTCATTCTGATGATGACTACTTTGTTTGGAAATAATCGCACTCTTTCTCTTACGCCGTTTCAAGGCGGTACTTCCAAACAAGCATCCAATAAAAGCATAGCTTTAAAAATGTAAAACCTATGTCCGTGAAACATGACAAGAAAGGTGAAGATAATGAAAGATATACAAGCTGTGTGACGCTGGAACACTATTACTAAAATGGTCATACTTTGCAGACTTGTTTGACTCCATCAACGGCCGAGTTGGGCCCGAACATATTCGACAAATCGGAAGTAAGGCACTCTCAGAATGTACGTATAAAAGTGCCGCTGATTATCAATCAATTTTGCATGAGACGTGATGAGTCAGCATAACTGGAATGCTTTGCTTTTATTCTTTCAAGTAATCTCCATTTTGATCAGGAATCAATAGACGCTGTGGTCACTGTGAACGGAGAATGAGAGGTGTGAATATCTGCCCCAATTCAGGAACTAATCAATTATGTGTTGGTTCAATTGTTACACAGATATTTTCGTGCAAACAGCCGGGGATTGTTTGAGGGAGAAAACAAGGTCATGAAACATTCTAATATTACTCCACATTCATCACGTCCGGAGCGAAACCCACCACCGCCTAAGTCCTATTTGACTCAAAGGGAAAGGGCGGGAACGCCCTTGAGCTGTAATGTGACTTTGTCACGAGGACAGATAAACGGATCTTAGATTGATTAGTTCAGCGGTTGCATTAAGAGAATGGGTATGGGCGAGTAACACGAAGGATTTTCGAATAACTGTCATTTCTGAAGAGGACAGAATGATGCTCACTGGAAAACGGAATTGTGCATGATTGTAAAATAATCAATCACAGCTAGCTAGGGGATGTGATTCACTCTCCGGATGATTTTAAAGAATTTATCTTGGATAAAAAAATGTCATTAATCGATATTGGATAGGGTACGTGGTTTGTTAATGGTCACGAGTATTCACTTTTAACGATACAATATTCTTATTCTGGAAACCACCAGCTTTTGTATGAAATATGAATCAAATGTTTACAAACGAATTATGTAAATTTCAATGAATTAAACGCAAAG